AGAGAGAGAGAGAGAGATTTATTGAAATATAATATTTATTTGAAAAAAATGCACAAAAAATTATTTTTATCTGAATTAACAATTTACCTGAATAGGTTCTGAACCATCACTATGGTGAGTATATAATTCTCGCGTTTCACTATCGATTGCTAACCATTTTCCGGAAGTGCATCCGACCACCATAACATTACCATCTGGTGAGAACCCGATACTCTGTGCTTGCTCCTAATAATAATAAAGATTTCGTTTAATTACTACGGAATTGTAATCTCATCGTTATTTTCCACAATTTGAACTGTGAAATAGAACGTACTACTTTATAAAGTATTAAGCACTCATTAAAATATATAATTACGATTCAATTGATATGATTTCGAATCATTGCTCATGTTTTCGATAAATGTAAAATATTTCTCAATTAAAATGTAATCTGAGTGTCAATCAAATATTCGCACTATTCACTTACTAGACACTATATTAAAAAATAAATAATAATTTATACTAACCCCAATATCTTTACTCCAAACAACAGTGTGACTAAGACTATCCCACATTTGTAATAATCTGTCGTGACCTGCTGTTGCAAATTGAGGTAGAGTTGGATGAGCAGCGAGCCCCCAAACCTCTTCAGCGTGACCTAACATGGCTGGATTGAATCCCATTCCCACATCACCGACCAAAATGCAGTTCCTCGTTGTTCCTATCAACAATTGCGAACCCCTACCTTCCGCGAGTGTTCGAATTCCACCGAAATGATCTTCGATCTGTTAAATGTAAAATATAAATATCGTATTATTATTACAAACAAAATTTAGATCTTTATAAATTACATAAATTTATACGACGACGAACACTATTATCTATTATGATCGATCGTTATTAAAAAAAAAATTATTTATCATTATTTGAATGTTATATTCTGATGCTTACTTGTGCTTCTTCTCCTGTTAAATTTAAAGATTCGTCGAAATACAAAATTTTGCCATCTTTGCCACCACCGGTGATGATAAAACTATCTTTTAGAACACAAATTGAAAATATCGATCCTTCGTGAACGTTCCTCACTATTTTAGAAATTGTGTTTGTTCCTGTAAATAAAATATGTTGATTACAAATATTATTTTTTTACCTTAATAAAATTTTTCTTTTCGATTTTACCTCTGCCCCAAACAATGATGTTACCGTTGCTATCACCGGTAAGAACATCACCGTTTTGATTAAACGCCACACAGGTCACGTATCTCGGTTTTTCTCTGCTTTCGAAAATCCCCATCCGTTTGTACAACATACCACCATTATCGAGAGACCAAAAAGACAGGTGTCCTTTCCCACAGGACACGATCTGGTTTCGTTCCAGAGGATGCCACTCCGCGCATACCACCGTGTCCACCGAGCACTGCAATTGACCATCGTCGTTCATTGAATGGACCGGTTCCGGTTTCGCACACTCACGAATCAACCGTGTGTGTTTCTTTCTGACCGAAACTATATATATTTTCTATTCTTTCTTAGGCACATTTATGATTCCGGTTATCGTTAATATACAATATTAATTCTTAGAAATGAATCGATACGTCGACCTTGACACGTGTACTTATCTTCTCTATAGACATTATCTAATATATCGATATACAATAATATAAAAAGTTCAATTTTATATAAATACAACTGTTCAAAATATATATTTTCAGCTTTTCATAATAAATTTTAACAATTGCTTTATGCGGAGTAACATTTATCGGGATTTATAGTGAATGATAAGAATGAAAGAATAAGAAATAGTAGATATACATTTCTACCTATAATCTATAGGTTTAAACGAGAACTAATTAATTGCGACAATTGTATCAGCGAATTGAAACATACCTTTGTTTCAGTTATCTTGGTACCTCGTTCTCCTTTCTGCCAATCCCAGATCGAGATATTGTGATCAGAGGTCTCGTCGATCGCACACAAGTAATTTCCACCGTCTGCTTTCGAGAACGAGAGGCAACAAATCGAACCATCGAATTCGCCGTTACCAATCACGCAAAGAGTTGCCAAACTGACCGAATTCCATATCCTTATATGTGGCTGAGAAAAATTATTACGATTAAATCGTAAGATATACACGTAGATGTGTTACAAATATTTATCAGAAAGTCGAATGAAAACCAATAATTTCGATGCTTTTTTACAAAAAAAATTAGAAAACAAATAAAGACAAAAAATATTATAGTGAAATTTATCATATTTTCAAAATATATTTATCGGTCTTGTTCGTTTCTACATTTTAAATCTAATGAAACGAAATGTATCATATGTGACATAATAAATCTTAGACTCGTACCTAATTGAAATTATAAGCGTTCCATTATTTTAGTATCAATGATAAATCATAAAATCGAAAGCGTTATTTTCATCCACTTCCATCAGATTAACTCTAATTTAATCGCGTTCTTACCATGGCATCTCGCCTATCGGTCCCACATACTTGACCAGTGGCGACTACCATTTTGTTCGGATGAATGGCTATGCTGAAATATATTTAATCGATGTAAAATATAAGTAAAAAAAAAAAAAATATTTAATACTTTCTTTTATAATAATAATAATTTTATAGTATCGACTTTTTACAAAAGAAAAGTGCGCTCCAACTTTTTAAGCGTTGCATTCAAAAGAAAGAAATTTTTCAGTAGCGAATTTCCCTTATCCCCATTCCCATTATCCCTTATTCCCATATCGTTATTAAGTCGCAATTAACTCACCATTTGATGTCGTCCGTATGACCCAGGTAATGCCTCTGGCTGTGCTCCTCCATGTTGTACAACACCACCACAGCTGCGACGAAATAAACGATTTCACCGGTGGGCAGTAGATGCAAATTGCTTCGACAATCCCTGCCTCGGTAACCGTACACCCAGTCGAGTTTCAATTTGCTCTGGGGCGGTGTGCTGACTTTGTGAAGGTCGTACGACTCCGTCAAAACCGTCGGAACGTAGAGGACAACGGGTCGTCCCCGCAGGTACATACGGACGGTATTCTCCTCCTCGTTGTACTGCATGTCTCTCGTGCTGCGAATTCATAGATATCCTGTTTTTTCTCATTCCTTCTTCGACCATCGATCTTTTTATCGCTGCCAACGAAATTCACGCGTTTTTCATCAATTCTTAACACATGGAAAATCACGAAAAATCTTGAAACTTGATCTCCGTCGAATGATTACTTCGTCAAATATGGCAATATAATTATATATATCAAGTTAAAAGGCAGCAACGATCTTCTTACGAGTTGCAAATAACAGATCGGGAACGAACGTTTAACGTTTTCTCTATAAAACCACTATCATCAAGATCAACTACTACTACTTTCATCTTTTACCCGTCACTTTCAATTTGCGCGTCATTTATATCACAACGCAACGATCACTTTATCTACTTTTAATTATCATCGCACAAAGTAAACGAATAATTATCAGATCAAGGCCGAACTATCGTCTTATCGATTTATTTTACTTTGGAGAATAAACGTTACACCTACCGTGTTGGTTAAATGGGAAACCGATTGCAGAACTTTCCGTGACGGCTTATTCTCGAAACCGCGAAAGAATGAGTCACTCGTTGCGCGCGTTCGCTTTTATTACCCGACCAGGCATAGTTTTGCGCGTTACCACGTTACGTCATTCTTCCCTTCCTTTCTGCTTGCCCGTCCCAACTCTCCTCATCCGCGATTACGATCAAGGACTGTCTGCCGTTCGAGACGCGAATTACGACTCGCTTGAAAAAACCCGAAATTGCCCATTCCGTAAAAAGAAAAACGGTAGACCGTTTTATTTCTTCTCTCGATTTAGGATACGTTTTTGCGTTAATGGCGACCGTGAATTACTCGGATGTTGAATGAATGCCGGCTGGAGCGAACATTTCATCCAAGCGATATATGTACAGTCAATCGCGAAAGTATTATCCGTATCTTACAAACAAATTCGATCAATCTGAAAACTTTCATTTTAATAAAAATTTACGTAAAATATGTACGCGTAATGTGTATTTGTACAAATCGAAATATTATTCACTCTCGATACGATAAAATTTACCTTCGAAACAATTTTTATTCTATCAAACTTTTCTCTATTTTACACAATCGAAACGACACAAATAACGACACTACCATGCTATTAAAAATTACATAATCCAACTGTTTGCGTGCAAATAAACTTTAAAACCAAGAAGTTAAGGAGTATCGAAGCGTATTTAAATACCAAGCGAAAACGGATACGATGAAAATGAATCGGTAAAGCGTGAAGAGGAACTTTGCTTGTTCGCCGATTTTTTTTACCGACTGTCTATAAGATCTAAGCTGGTAAACGGCTTGTACCAGGAAACGGGGAATTCACGGTTGTATAACGACAGAGATCGCGATTCACTTTCTTCGGGAATGCAATGGCATAGCTCTTTTGTGAACGATGAACGACCGTTGTTATTCACGTGACTTTCATACCTGTCGCCTTCCAACGCCTTCCTTAGAAAGTGCACGAAGAGAATTATCGTCGAATATTTATCGCATTTTGCGAATGATTTGCGAAGTTTGCGGGAAAAGATCGAGATTACGTATCGAGATTGATTTGGACGATTAAGACGTATATATATATGAAAATTATTCACTATTTGAATTATTTTTAGTACAGTGAGTTAGAATTTTCACTCGTCTTAATAACATTTTCTCAATTATCATATCGAATCTATTCAGAATGAAAACGTATCCTTTTTCTTCTACGCTACTTTTTGTAGATTATCCTTCGTTCATTTGGTGACTTTAACGCGTGGATTCGCGGTACATATCGAATACCGGTTTGCGCTTGTCTCTTCGTTCCTCTGCCATTTAAAGGAATTTATGATTATATCGCCGATCTTTAACCTTGTAGAAATTACGATTGATTCAACTGCGAAATCTTCTTGAAAATATTTTTAAACAAACATAGTCTAAAGCTTGTTTGCACTTACGATTAACAACAACGTAACACCGTTATATGATAATTACATTTCCATATTGTTTCCAAAGTACCGTCATTTCGAATAAAATTGTCGTTACATCTCGTAACAATATAATACGTTTAGTTAAAAAAAAAAAAAATATATCACTTTTGCTATATAACTTTCCCTTCACACTTATCCGCTCACAACTCTTAACTTTACCTTCTTAACTTTTCCATTATTGAAAGTAATCGTGAATTGAATACGAAATTTCGAAAAATTCTCGAAATTTTGTACGAGATGTTCACGATATATCGACACATAAAAAGGTAATAACAGAGAAAAAACATGCTATAATATGTAATACACAAATTGTTATAAACACTTGCTCATTCGAAGAACAGCATAAAAAATCAAGAGACAGTTTCGAGTAAAAAGTATCCCCTTAGACTGCGAATTCTCGTGCATACGTTAATAAACTTACTATAAGTAAACATTGTGCGCATATATTCGTTGAAATATAGAATATTTGTTTCGAGCGTAAAAAAAAAATCCGCAGTCTAATAAGTTAATCGATATGTTAATAATAATTAAAAGGAGAAGGAGAAGGGGAGGGAGGGGGGGGGGCGGGAATAAAGATAATAAAAGGTGGAAAACGTTACTCGAAAGATCGTAAGTAGGTTACGGAAGGCTGATCGAGGAGAGATAGGAAGGTGAGCCGCGTTCCAAACAAGGTTTTCCTTTCACGAGTGAAAAAGAAAGCCATGCTCGGGTTAATACGTTCCAACTAGGCGTGTACCATTTAAAATTAGAATTTTTTTTAATTAGGATACATCCATTCACGGTTCTCGAGCGAATGCATAATGTATAATTCACGCTTTTTACCCCGATTCCATTCGACGAAGGTGGGCTCATCGCTAGTAAATCTCGCTATCCACGTTCGAGGTCGAACGTTTTATCATAGTAATTAACGGCATGCTATACGGAATTCTATCGTAGTAACGTAAGCTTTATAACTTTCTACGAAGTACGCTAGTATCTCGTTCGCTATTTGGATCGTTTCGATGCGCGTTCGTAGATCGCGAGTATCAATCATTACGAATCATTTTATGCAATATGACATCGACACGTTGCAATCTAATATTTTCTTTTTTAATGTTTAACAAAAAGTGTTTCAAAGTATTATCGTTTATTTAATTAAAAGAAAAGTTCTATATTCGTGTAAAAATTATTCAAAGATATTTTTTCTTTTTTCTTTTAAATCTACAAAAGATTAGAGAGAACGAACGAAAAACTATTCGTACGTGTTATCACTCACCTGAAATAAGTTTAAAAAGATGCATCTTATAAGGCAATTGTACACGTGTAACGTGCACGTGGCCACGATCACAGCCGATGCACGTGTTGTATTCGTATTTTTCTTAACCTTTTCACGATTGGCTGGATGTGTATGTCTTTTTTAACATTACGATTTTCGAATTTCATTTCCAATAAAAAAATAGGATTTCTCTATACGTAAAACTCAGACTTTTATCGGTATTAATATTATCTCTATCGCCTCATGAATTCTCGTAAGATTAGACAATATTCGTCAATGATTGATTTATATACCTATATTTAACGAATTGTTAAAAAAAAGTGATAAAAAATAATATTGCGTTCACGAAAAGATTAAGATTTTCGATGTAAATCGGATAAAATGCGAAAATGTTTAACTTTATTTACCCATGTTTCACGTTGTTCAGCGCCGGGGGCTTGAAGAGGTTGAACAGAGACTTGGTGGAGGCTGACAATCTATAATGAACGAAAATGCAAACGAAAACCATGCGGTGCTGAACGGAGTGAAAGGAGTTAGAGAAAAAGTGAAAAATAAACAAATAAATGAATAGAAAAGAAGTAAAAAAAGGATGTGATAACAAAGTGACGAGCCGTACGTGCTTTTTTTTCTCTCTCTCTTTTTTTCCATGGACGATTTGCGCTTTCTCGCCCGCGATGCGATGAGAAGAATTATCCACTTCCGGTAACTGGTTCTCTCGTTTCAGTTACCACCAAAGGGAAGCTCGGACGAATGGAAAACAAACGGGAGATGGTTATACGCTTTCCACGATTAATGAGCTGTGAAGCGAATTCACGTCGCGAGACATAATCGATAGTCCGTTGCTCCGTCAATGTTGCTCGCTAGACGCCTCTTTCACGCCAACCTTACCGTCAAAATTATTAATTCAAGATGAATTTCCATCCATCCGTAAAACTTTCGAGAACCGGTGTGTAAATACCACGTGTCTTTATTCGTTTGTAAGTTAGGATTCCTTTTCGATCGATATATTTTACGATCGAAATTGAAAAAAAACTAAACTTTTATAGCTGCAAGATTGGAAACAAATCGTTAGTTTTATTCAAAAGCAAAAAAAAAAAAAAAACAAAAGTCTCTCCAGAACTCTAATAATCGGTCACCGTGACCGTTTCAACTCGCTTTCAGAGAACATTGCACTCAAGTAATTCCACGAACTTGACGCGGACAAGATGTCTCCTATTTTTATTCGCGCTCCGATATTCGCTTTCATTCATCGAAGAATATAGAAGAAAAAAAAAAAAAAAAAACGACGTACGACCGTCACGTCACGTAGCAGTAGTAAAACATTCAAGGAAGCGAGAAAAGAAAGGTGCGTTGGGACGAGGGTTAAAGTCGAGTCGAGTCCTCCGTAAATAAGAGGAAAGCAGGCAAATGTGCATTCGCTTACGTTAATATCGCTTACCTGCCACCAACGAGTTGCGAATTGCTTCCCTGATTTTGCGGGGAATGCGTAAAATCCCCTGTGGACGACCACCGTTTCGCCCTTCTTAAGCTGCTTTGGGGTGGCCCGTTTGATCTTGCTGTCGGTGATCTATCGAATAACAGGATTAATGCGTGACGGAAAAACACGATTACCTTGGTTGCGGACCTTCGTCGCATCGTCCACGGGATTCGATTTGTCGCGTTAAACGACATTTTTTTCCTCTTCCCCCCCTCCTATGACACGTGAAATTTTACGATCTTCACTCGTTTTTCGCGATATGATAAAGATGTCATCACACGTATGATTCGATGATCTTCTACTACACGATACTCTATTTAAATATACATAATTTGAATTTATTTCTTTTAATGGAATAAAATTTATTCGTACAAATTAATTCCTAGCAGATTTTTAAAGTATAATTCGAACGATTAAATCGAAGTACGTTAAAATTTTTTATTACTTTCAACAACAACAATATTTGTCAACAATTTTTTACGTTTTAGTTAATAATTTAAATAGAGATTTTTTCATTAATTAGCGTTAACGTATAAAATTTTATTCCTATCTCATTTTTACTCCTACTAATTCCTTTTTTAATTTTCATGCTGTAAGTATAAATTATTAAGACACGACACGATGCAATAGTATAACGAGTAATAATAAAAATATATCATTTACATAAATATATTTAACGTAGATTTTTTTACCATGACCAAATACTAGAAGAGAATAATTTCTCAATTCTATCTATTATATCTAAAGTAAAAAAAAATTGATCTTCGATACAATATTAAATCTAAATCGTAATTCAATTACAAACACACGAGCACGAGCACAAGCGAAGTTTACGAGTTCTAAGTACAGACGTGTTAATTATATTATATTCGTTAGCATGCATATCTAAAAAAGAAAAATGATACATTTAAGTTTCAATCTCATAGAAGAACATTTTCAATTTATTTATTCCTTATAGAAAAAGTATCATTTTCCATCGAATTTAACTACTCTCTATATAAAAGAAAAACTATTTATTTTACTCGATTTGTTGTTAAAAAAAGGAGGAAAAATATAGTATTAATTCAATTCGAGTACCTGGCTACTGGCAGTGGTGTGGCTCTAGGACTTGGCGATGGCACCGGGGAAACACTACTACTACTGGGACTGTCCGAATGTAAAGAACCCGTCGATTGATAATGAACTGACCTTCTGAAAATCGTTAATTAATCGTTAATTTATTTTTAAATGAAAAAGATAGAGAAGAAAACGGTCGACGGTATAACGACGAGTTTCGATAACAGTGATGTATATTATAAATATAAGATAAAAGATAAATTAATTCGGAAAAGCGTGATCGTTGGTAGAGGAAAAAAAAAAAAACGATATACCTTTGAGGAAGTTGGGACGAATGAGTGTAACTGACTGGCCTCCGTGGACTGGAAATCGAATCTCGAACGTCTTGAGAAGATCCCGAGGATGATGAATTCCTCAAGCAACCAGTTTGACGTAAACGTACGTCTTTCGCTGGTGTTGAATTTTGATTAGTACCTAATAATTAATACAATTTTAATAAGATTAATATTACAGATCTCGTTCCAATTATCCATATATAAGTCTAAGCTCTGCTCTTCAAACGTTTAAAAAATGAGAAAGAAGAAAAATCGAGTAAGATTTCTATTTCGTTATATCGATTAAGACCGATTCATGCATTTTTGATCGACATATTATCATCGAAATAAATTGAACTATCACACGTAAACTATGCGCGACACCGCATTTCAAATCTTTTAGATATTACCGATATTATAACACGATTTAAAACGGTGGACTAATAAGTTGAAGAATTTTGTTTGTCAAAAATGATAATGATTCGAACCCGTTATGCTGGTTTGGCAGCAACTCGGAATAATATCTCGGAATAGATAGAACTGCAATTGCCCGATGAAATTGCTTCGCGAATCGCGAACGAAACGAAATGGAACGTGACCCTAAGCAGCGTAGCGTGTTAACAGGTAAACCCGATGAACTTTGTTTCAAATGGGCTCAAACCTCGTCAGGCTTCTCTACCTATTTGTGATTCGCGACATGCCACCATGGCTTTTCTAACGATTTCCGTCCAAACTTATGTCTTGAAAATTTATAATATCCGTTTTCTTCCGTTTTGTCCACGCTTCGTTTCAACCTTCGTTGAATTGCCGAATCGACGAGGATCAATTTCAAACAATTTTTTTTTATTATTTTCTTACAAAGAAACAATTTAATTTTTCGTAAAGTCTTTACCCGATGTTTAATATTTATACGTTTCAAATATAATATATATTTTATACGATACAATTCTATACACGTTCTAGACGATAATGCGTTCATCTTTATTGGTTTTTCTACTTTTGTTCCGTCGCGTCGTATCGAGAATCAATAATGGCTCAACCCTGTTCCATGCGAAAGTAATAAAAGATCAAATACTAATTATTCCGTTTGATTGACGTATTCAACTTTGCACGATTTGCCACGCCTCGGGTTTTCATTATTTCAAATACGGGTCACGAACAGATATCATTTATAAAGGAAAGCAGAAGATCGATCGATCAAAGGAAATTTTATCTATTCCACTAATAACCTATCGAGCCTATTCAGTTTTTGTTCTCGAAACTTTCGCACGACAAAATTACAACATTTATATATTTTCTTCAAACTTTTCGTCGTTCTCCATCTTTCTGTCAAAATTTTTTCTTCTAGTTTCTCTAATTTCCGAAAAAATACGTATTGTAAAAAATACGTTGCCAATACTTTCGATAACAATTTGCTTGCCGATAAAAGGCAAGTTGAATATGTTAATAAATGTCGCCATTTTAAGCATGCAAAATAATCGGCAAGGATCTAGCTTGTACTTACTTCTAAGCGATACGTGTCCATTCCTTAAGGGCGAGGACACCATCCTCTCGTTCCTCCTCTCGTTCCTCTCATCCTCCCTTTTTTCGCGTCCTTCCAACAGTGCGATCCGCCTTAACGCGTCCGCGAGAGTAGCGCGAAGACAAACTATCTCGTCCCTCTGCGCCAAGGATTGCCTCTCGAGATCCGCGACTCGGCCCAACAGGGATCCGGTCTCGCACTCCAACATCTCGTCTGTAAAAGGGAATTCTCGTTCGAACATCGGATCGAACAATCGTTATCGCTTCGCCAATTTTATACAATTTTCTCCCCTTCCATAAATATATATTTCGTCAATCTACAAACACCACTGTATTTTCTCAGCTTTGTACTTTTGCGCGATACCAGTTAATCGTTAATTGTTTCAAACTTTTCGCGTTTTATGTTTATGATTTAACCCATTGAGGATTATATCTGCTCGAATATGTCCATAGGAAAATAATAGCTATTATTTTTTTTCCCGTTATTTTCATTTGTAAAAAAAATATTATAATTAACACAGATTAACTGGGATAGATACTATTAAATGATATATTAAAAATGTCTCTTCTGATTCTTCGTTTTTACTTCCATGCATGTAACATTGATAATTGAAAATCGAGTACGTAATTATATTTTTTATTTTTTTTATTATTATTTAAACGTATACGAAGTTGATACGCGATGGACGAAAAAATAATAAAACGTTGTAAATTTTGTCGTTCCATATAATACTCACGCCACGCCTGCTCCGCTTCATCGATGGTGTCCATCGTGTCCGGCGTGGACATTGCGATTAACCTCTTACGGTGACCCCGACGTATTAATACGTTATTCAATTGAACTGATTAACAAGCGCAAACAGAGCCAATGTGCTGTCTCGCGTACATGTCCTCTCCACCGAGTCACTTTTCTTTCGAAACGCGAAACAACCACGCCAGTGCTTCATCGGACGGATCGAATAATTAATAATAAACACATCGTCGATTCGTCATAGACGAAAAATTAATTGACGATTTTAATCATTTTTCCAATGATGGATACTAGTTTCTTCTTCATATTTCCAACAATCTTTTATGAATTCATTACGTATTGAACCAATTGATCTTTACAACCTTTGCAACCTTTTTATCTCGTCCCATCGTTTCATATATTCCGATCGATCGATCCATCGTTCATTTCCTGATCAAAAACAATTCAGCATACGAGATGAACTACATCTATTATCACTGATGATCACTTCAATTATTTTCATTTCAGGTTATAATAATTTTCTCTTATAAATAAATCTTCGAGATAATTATATTTAAATTTTTTAAATCTTTTAGAAAAAGTAAATTTCTACTTAAATGATTAACTTTCAATAGTGTCGTGCATCGAGGCGAACTCGATTACCTCAAAATCCGAGCTTCTCTTTTTTTTGCATATAAAAATATGACATGGCAAAAAAATAAATAGTTAACATTCAAAATTGTATCAAGTATTAATTAGGTCAAGAAAGATTTAGTTTGTTCATATATATATATGAATTGTAAATATGATTATTAATAATTGTATTCAATTATTAATAATTGAAATATTAATAATTTCGAATAGATGCAACCTTAAAATATGAGAAATACCAGAAAAAAGAATTTTGAATCGAATAACTTAATAAATGAGATTTAAAATCAATATCTTATTAATTTAAATCTTAAAGGATCGTGAATTAGAATTTGTATGAAAGCAGTATTTCAGTATATTTTCAGTATTTCAAAAAAAAAAAAAACAAATTTAATTAATAATATTTTTATAAAAAATTAATACGATAAAATTTGGATAGAAACTTATTTATTATATGTATTATATGTAAAATCCGATTATATTTCGATATTATTTTCGCTCTCTTACTTATTATTATACGTTTGATATTACACTATAACTACGAATTTCTATTATTTTTTAATTCGAGTTTAATTTTATTTTGAAAGAAATAACAGAAGAAATGGTTACGGATATATTAAGAAAAGGTGTTTGTTTTTTTCGTGACAACATTATTAAGAAAGAGTACACAAGAGAATCGTCTCACGGAGTTTACAACGTACGTACACATTTAGTCCGATTATATGCAAATCATTTTGTAACGTACAATTATTTAATAACCCACTTCCCATAATTTGAACATAAAATGGTAGCAGCAAAGTGTTCCATTTACCTTGATATTATTAAGATTATTGAGATAATATTAATAATTACAGTTTTCATCATATTTACCCATTCATTTATACATACGATAGAAAAAAGATTTTCGCATCTTTTAAAATAGATTAGATAAGTTATTGATGTTATCATTACGTTCGAATTCAGAGCTCAAAGAGGACGTTACACTCTCTCTATTTCGATTATTAGCCATTACGAGAATTTCACGAACCGATGACGAACGAACCGTGAAACGCGATCTTGAAATTATTTGCGCGACGTGACACGCTATGAATCGAATAATAATAATAATAATAATAATAATGATAATAATAATAATCGCGAATCGATGTTGAAAATCGCGATCAACGGTTTTGGATCGATTATTTGGATCCCAAGTAACGAAAAGCAATTAGCCCAGTGGAAAGTGAATTGGGAGAGCGAACGAACGCGACACGAATCGAGCAATCCAAGTTGAGGGGAGGAGGTTGACATCGTCTCTGGAAACGCGAATATTCATTGAAAGTGAAACGTGCGCGAATCCGTTACGAATCGCGATAAACAATTCCTACACGAAACACGCCACGCAATTCTCATCAACCATCAACCATTTCGTCTTCGAAACGCTAACTTTTAGAAATAATTTTTCCTTTTATTATCCATATATTTCTAACTTCAACAATTCATTTATATATTATTCCATCTTTTGTGTATGAATATCGTTTTTTACATTATATTTTAATATTTGAATAATTGGATTTTCAAGTTATAGTCTCTATTAAATATAAATTTTCGATAAAACTTTTGATCTCTCTCTCTCTCTCTCTTCTCTCTCTCTCTCTCTCTCTCTCTTTTTCTACGTACAATAATTCATGACGATTCATAATAAAATCTTTTTTTATGTTATGAATATAACATCTTTCCATTAAATTGTCAATAACGTAATAAAATAAAATATTTATATTATCATGTTGTAATATTATAATACGATAATAGATATTATAATGCAAAAATATATAAAAATAATCGATTATTTTTAATTACGAAACGTGAATCGTTAAAACATCGTTCAGAATGTATGACTATGCGATTTCAAAGACGATCTTCGATAATGGATAACTAAATATGAAGAGAATCTCTCTCTCTCTCTCTCTTCTCTCTCTCTCTCTCTCTCTCTCTTTTCTACGTACAATAATTCATGACGATTCATAATAAAATCTTTTTTTTATGTTATGAATATAACATCTTTCCATTAAATTGTCAATAACGTAATAAAATAAAATATTTATATTATCATGTTGTAATATTATAATACGATAATAGATATTATAATGCAAAAATATATAAAAATAATCGATTATTTTTAATTACGAAACGTGAATCGTTAAAACATCGTTCAGAATGTATGACTATGCGATTTCAAAGACGATCTTCGATAATGGATAACTAAATATGAAGAGAAACGGAAAAATACATTCGAATTGATTAGTTCTTTATAGTAGGATTTACGTAATCTACGCAAAGAAAATGAAAGATTAAAAAATAATAAAAAAAAGAAATCTAAAATTTCGAATCTAAAAAGAAACGATTGTTTCTCTACGAATTTTATATAATTTATCACAAAAATGATATTTAAAATAACGAAACATTGAGAAAAATGTATGATTCCCCGTAATTGTTAATAATATAGAATAATATAAAATATTTTAATACTATTTTAATACATTGTAAATAATGTAATTGAATTAACTTGGGAAAATATTATTAATAATTATTTGATATTTATAATAATTATATATAGCTGTCATTTTTTTTCTTATTCTGTCATTAAAAGAAATGTAAAATATTGCAAGTTTTATAACAATTTTTGAATTTTGAATTTGAATTTTTTCAATAATTTTACTTCATTTTTTAATTTTTTATTGATATTATATTTTATCATTAATACTTTAATTACGCTAAAAACTATACTACTAACGATTATTAGTAATAATATATCTTTCAAAATATATTAATTATTTATACAAATATATGTACAAGGTACATAATTATTAATATATATTTAATTACTCGTGCAATATTTATACAATACTTACCACAGACGAAAATTTTGCCCTCCATATATTTTAAATTAATTTGCATATAAGAAAAACATCAATTATGAGTATTATTCTCGTTATGATAGATTAATAATTTCTTAACGAAACGTATATTTTCGTCACCAGACATATAAATGGAATATCGGTATTATATAAATCTACGTATCTTTCAGAGATACGAAAAAACATTTAATTCCTTCTTTTTACGAAGATAAGCACCGAATGAGTTACAATAAAATATCAAATGAATATAGTAAGGTGCATTAAATATTTTAAAGTTTAGTTATATTCGATATTTCTCGTTCAAAAAAATATTTACGCGCATACGATATCATTTTATTGCAAAAATAAATATAGAACAAATTGTAACTTATTTCTTTTTTTTTTTTTAAGACAATTATACGAGTTAAAATATTGTTTTGAATCATTGCAATCAATAATCAGTAAGAAATAACAAATTAAATAAATTAAATCATTAGTGAAAAAATATACAACTATTGTAAAAAAATATAATGATAAAAAATATCATAATCGTGGCTAAATCAATTGTAAAATTTAGTAAATATTAAACTTTATAAATATTTAACGAAACGTATAATTTAATTTAATTATTTATTATTTAATTTATTATATTATTATATTATATTAATATAATAATTATATATTATTATTTAATTTAATTATTCGTATAATTTATTTTATATTCAAAGATTATTATTGTAGAAGATTGTAGAAAAAAGGAATATTTATTACATCGATCAATATCGATAAAATGTATTCTTAAATAAAAAATTATTAGAATTAATTTTATCAATGATAAATATACTTTATCGCATATTACATGTTAAAATTCTTACAAATTTTACATATTTTAATTTCTAATTCATCATATCATTCGAAATTGATCGATACAACAAACGATGAATAATTATAACGCAAATAGAATCAATCATTGTTCCCAAAAGAGGAAATTATTTGCTGTCAAACATTTCCAACATTTGCACAAACATCGAAATGGATATTTAAGATCGACACTTTGAAACCGCAATGTAAACTAAATTCTTGTTAATTACGAAATTATTCGCGATCAAATATCGTTTCAAATCTATTTCTATTCCTAATAAAATTACACCAATTATCCTAATATCGCATCAAAAGAGGAAGAGAGAAAGATAAGAAACATTTAATCCTGTAAACGTTATGGTTTAATCTTTGAACGTGTATTGCACAAGTGACGCGAATTTTTTATCGATATTTATTGGATCGTTTGTGAATCCATATTATTTCATTATTATTATTGTTGTTGTTATTGTTGTTGTTATGATCAATTATCATTTTATTATTATATTATTATTTTATATATATAATATATATAAACTTTTCCATCACTATTCTATTATATATATATATATGCGACATAAGCGCTTAAAGGATGATTAAAAATTCAAAAAGCATTTTCCACCTCATCCTGATCCTCATCTTCGCTAAAATTCTGTCCTCACGTGTAACATCATCGCACACTTTGACAAATAACAAAACTTGGAGAAGAAATTTACACCCCGCGTACACGATGTGAAAAGAAAACGCGCGGTCGGCGCATAAACAATTCACTTTGTTTTCGATTATTTACGATTAATCGCGATTAATCGCCGACTAAACTTATAAACGTGGCATATCTCTGCTCGTTCGATATTCGGGGAAAAAAATAAAAATCGCTTTTAAACGAAGGCATGCGCACATCGAACGTGGGAAGAATCGGTTGTTAGATCGGGTCAAAGCGAAAGGGCTTTGCACTTTCCCTCGAAAGTAGTTTTCACGACACCGACGTTTTCATCGCGAGACCGTGTAACACGTGTGTTTTCCGTACGGCCGCCCCAACGTTACTGCCAGCCCGAGAGTACAGCTGCTTAGCCGCGATCAATACGTTCTAGATACTCCAGATGATCCAGATGACTCGACTACGCTACGCGAACCATTGACTGGGGTCACGATACATCCTATACGTATACATATACCGATTATTCTTTTTGCCTTCACCGATTTCTTTTATTTTTATTTTTTTCCCACGATAAATGCACGATACTCCATTTTTTTTAAAATAAATTTTAACCTACCATTAATTTATAGTACAATTCAAAATATTTTTCTCCTTTTTAATTTCGAAATTTTTCAAACTTACGATGAAATCTATTGTCAATGTGATTTTTCCCTAAACTTCGTCAAAAAATTTACATTAAAGATGCATATATTTATGCCCATAAATCTAATACTTTTATTCTTTTTTTTTTTTAACTAGTCCAATAGATAAATAAAATTTTCTTCCATTAGGATGTCAATTATTAATTTTTTTTATCTTTATTATATTTCTTTATCTATTATTTTCATAATTGCAATTATTTATCGTTTTCTTAAAAGGAACATATAATAAAAACATACACGTGTATCACACGTAACATATTACCATACACAATGATTTTTATAATTATTCCCATAAATAATATTTATATGATTCTAACTTTTATATCATAGCATTATATCAATTATAAATTTGATAAAGAAATATTTCTCATTACAGATATTTCTACACATTAATCTTAATAATTGTTTTTAAGTTTCCCTTTCCTTCGATACAAAGAAATTATGCCAATAAATCAAGATCCTCTACACATCGAACTCATTTCCGGACATGAGATTAAACGCGTTCGATTTATCCTTTAGATTTATGCTATTCGTTTCTAACGAACGAATCGCATCCTAGATATCGAACACACCTTAACACTATTCTTCGAAATCATCTTGTCCTATATCGAGGGAGTTGTTCCATTAAAATTACTCGTGTTATGTCATCCTTCGGCACTATTCCAGCGAATGATGCAGTCTAGAAAATAAAACCGAACCAATCCTCGTTTAAATCCTCGCCAAGAGACGTACAAAATTACATATTTTCGCGAAATATTATAATAAAAGTGGTCTTGAATTCGAAGATTTTATATTTTTACTATATTCAATAAATTTAACAAAAATTATTTATTTATATTTTGTTATGTACTTCTCTTCGTAACTAGGTTTTTGTTAACTAAATTAGGAAGAAATACTAATTCTATAATATCTAACGATATATATTGAATCGATATTATATTAATAAAAATCATTAAATGATTAAAAAAAAGTTTATTTCGAAAATGAGTATCGTTGCATATGAAGTACTTCCTTTTAAAAATAAAATAAAATATTTTATTTTTATTAATTCTTTTTCTTCTAAATTTTTTTCTTTTGTGAATATTCAAATTCCAACTTTAAATAACTTGATCAAAAATTTCTTTCCTTGACAACAAGGAACTTCAGTTTCAAATAATATATTGCTTCGAAAAACGCTGATAAAGTTTTAAAACTCTTGAGTTGAGGTGGCAACGCCATATCAGAACTCAACGAAATATTGAAACGTTCAAATGTTCAAATGGATAAACGTTGACAAAATTTCGTAAAATTCCATCTAAGAATTCGTTATTCGACCAAATAAACGGTGAATCGATAATAATGAAAAAACAGGATGAGGATGGCACACCTTCGCATAACGTCATCGAGCCTTGAATCACTTACGTAACAAGTGACATCGGCCACCATACAATATCTATTTTCCTCATTTACGACGCACATTCGACTAATTCTGCGACCAAGAGTTTCTCTACTGGAATACTGTTCCAATTGTCAAATTTACGATCCCATTTATATTTTGTCTACTTATCCATATTAAAATTACAAGTTTCACATTCAAGAAATAAATAAAAGTATATAAGATAGAATATATTATCTTTTATCTTTATTTTTCTAATTTTCGACGTTGAATTTACAATTAATACCGCTGGCGCGTTGTATTTTCTTATTAATGTTCAAATTGATTGATTTAAAATTGTTCCGTTTTTACATATTAAAAATTAAAAAATGTAGTTTTCTTTTCAAAAAGAAATTATATGTATTGGTTTTTATTCAAATAAAAATATAATTACATATATTTAATTATATATTATTTGTTATAAAGATATATATTAGAAATCAATAGTTTCAGTTTTGAACAATTATCACTGTTCAATGGAATAATAAATATTCGGATTATTTGTTTATCATAGTTGTAAATCATAGTTGTAAAAAAAAAAAAAAATATTTTTTTCTTTAACTCTTCATTTTTTGAAAAAATCAAATTAGAAAATTAGCCCACGATAAATTGCTATAACTGTAATTTCTGTTCATAGAACCGTACCGAGTTACTAGATGACTACGCAACTAGGTGAAGTAATATTACATTTAAATTTATTTTTTATTATTTTTTCTTTTCTTTTTAATTTCCGCTCAATCATTATGTTTTATACCAGACGAACAAATGTTCTAATATTTATGAACAGGAATGTATGTATGTAAATATCTAATAAACAAAAAAACTTACTCATTTCTTGTTTCGCGTTGTGTGTCGTATGCCCGTTTACGTGCATCCTCGTGTCCGAACTTTTCTTTTCATACTGATGTTGCTCCTTCGTTGAAGACTCCGTGTCTGAAAAGAGAAATAATTTGTTAATTTATTTATATATATATTATGAATTTTTATACATTTTATACAATTTTTATACATAATAATAGTTATTATGTTAATTAAACTATTAAAAGAAAAAGATATTATAGATAATCATTTTTCATAAATTTTAGAAAAGATATTATATATTCGTTCGATAAATATCTTGAAAAAGAATTATTATTGGCCAAAATTATTTTTCTATCATTATTCTTTTATATGAATTATGTGTCAAATCAATTTCCGATAATAATTTTCAATCTGATAAAAATATACGATGTATTCTATAATATGTTCTAATACGTAATAATATAATATAATATAATATATTTGAATTGATATGACGTATAGGATATCGAAATATCGGAATAATAAAACCGTGATATCAAGCAAAATATGAAAAAAAAAAAAAAAAAAAAAGAAAAGAAAGAATGATATTACGATACAAAAATGTTAACCGCGTCGTGATTCGCTATTGTCTTTGGTTTGAAAATCGGCACGATTGCCGCCATACAAATTGTTTATTCTCATTTGATAATTACAAATCATTGATGATTAATATATTAATCATTATATGATGATATATCGTATTTATTTTATTTATTATATTATATATCTTTTTATCTTTCTTCTTAATATAGTTACAGGATGTATAATTAAATATTTTTTTCCTTGTTCTTTGTTGTTCAATTCTTTAATTTTATAATTCAATCAGGAAAAAGAATAAAAATGCGTCACGACCTTGATCAATGAAAACGAATGACGCTACGTGATCGCGAACGTACCTGATGTTGTTTTAGAAACTGGGACGTGTTGCATCTTCGTTTGTATTCTATATAAAAAAAAGAAGAAAAAAAAAAATAAAGAAAATGTATTAAGTTTTAATATGAAGTTTTCAAATGCAATAAATATATTATATCAATTCGATTCGTCAGAATTAGAAAATTGTTTTTACTTTTCATTTTATATTTATTGTCATATTATTACTTATTATAATATTGTATTTATTTGAATAACATATAAAAGTTAAAATTGTAAAATTTTTGCTATGAATTTAAAAAATCATTAGATTTCGAAAGTAAAACTTAATATATTATATTGTAATATAATTATAAATCGTTTTTCTTTAAAAATTATTTATTTATGTTCCAAATTATTTATTTATTAATTTCAAGACTTAGAAATAATAAAACTTGCTCCATTCGATATAAATTGATCAAAGTTATTATATATAAAGTTCGAATCATATTATATCACTTCTTTTTAAAATGAAAAAAAGTAATCAAATATATCAAGTAATTTATATATTCCTTTCTAAGTATGAATAAAATCAATTATTAATCGTGTTCAAACATCCTAAGTTTTCTTCACTTCTCGATTCGATGCAACCTTGATTAACCGGTTTAATGGAGATCGGGACATGTCGTTTAAATAATCTATCAGATAATCTAGACACTTGGATTAAATAGATATATCAGAATATTAAAGATTAAACACAGGATTCCAAATCAAATATTTCTCAAATTTTAAAATTAATAATTTTTGCAATCTCGTTAATCGCCTCTACATTTTGTGGAGACGAATTTTAATTTAAATATTTTTTTTAAACTATAATTTTAAAATCATTAAAATATTATTTTAAAATATTCTATAAAATACTGCAGAATTTTGACTACAATATTTCTAATTATTTTTCAAATAAATTTTTTATTTATACAAACAAAATTTATGATTTATTTTTTACATTAAAGTAATAATATTCTAGATACTATATCTTTATATAATAATTCATTCCTATAATTATTTTTAGTACGATTATGTTTTCTAAAAAATATCATTTATTGGCAAATTTTTAAATTCCTACAATACGATTCATTTTTTCTAAATACATGTATGTTCATGTAAAAAATGATTCATGCGACCAAATCATCACTTTTTCTTATTGCAATTAGAAAGGAAAAGATGGGTATTTTAAAACAAAATTATATTCTCGATACATAATTAAATTTGATATATAGTCGCACATTAAATATTATATAACTATAATAAAAAAGTGAGTATTTTTATTGAAATCAATCTTTCGAAGATGTGATGATTCCACGAGTATTTTGCATATTTTACTTTAATGGTATTCGAATCTTATTACGAAATAAATCTTTTATATTTTTTCATTTAAATTTAGTATACGTATCGAATTTCCATCCCTATTTGTAATAAGAATTCAAATGATCGTTTCGAAAAGTGGCAAACGATAGGGATAATATTCTCGGAAAGATGATCGGAGAGGAACCGTGAATCAGGATATATCGAAAGAGACCTATACTCGAGAGAATATATATAGAGAGTATAATAAAGAGAGT